ACCCCAATTCCAAAGCTCCATGCCACAAATTCCCACAAACTCCATCCGCTGCCAACGGCTCCAACCGAGGAAAGGCGCCTCGCGGGGGGGAAATCTGGGCTGCATTTTTGGCGGGTTTAAACCCTTAACAGCCCTAAACCCTAAACCCTAAACCTTGCAGGTTTAGGGCTCAGGCAGTCTTAGGGTTTCGGCTTCGGGTTTGTTTTGGTTAGGGCCTTTGTCAGGGTGTGGGTTCAGAGGCTTAAGGGAAGCTTCGAGTTGTATGAGGAGCCTTGCAGGAGGTAGGGAAAAATCTACACTGGTCCGAAACCCTAACCCCGCAACCCTAAACCCTACAGTTTGAGAATCAGAAAGACTAACCTCGTCAATCGCCACCCATAAACTCCGACCCCTAGTTAGGGAGGCTTGGCGCTCCCTAGGGTTCAAAAGGTTTCGGTTTAGGTTTTAGGGCTTAAGGTCCCAGGGTTTAACCACCAAGAAAGCCCCACAAGTCAACCGCTCCCCCCACACTGAAGTCTTAGATCTCCATCCGACACAGCCTCATCCTTACTAGAGAGGTTGGAGGCAACGTAAGACTCCTAGGTTCGGAAGGATCGGGGCTCCCTCAACCCTATAAAATCCCCCCCAAACCCGAAACACCTCCTAAAAACCCTAGCAACCCTATACCCTAAACCCCAATAACTCTATAAACCCTAAACCCTATCAGCCCTAAAAACCCTAGAAACCCGATAAACCGTGTAAACCCCAGGAACCCTACCCGCCCCATAAACCCTATAACCCCTAGAAACCTTCAAAATCCCGAACCCTATAAAACCGCATGAGACCCTACAAGGCCCTGTAGAAACCATACAAAACCTTGTCAAAACACGGCAAAGCCCTATGAAACCCCTATAAAGCCCTTTGAGAAAACCCTAAACCCTAAACCCTGAACCCTAAACCCTAAACCCTAAACCTTAAACCCTAAACCCTAAACCCTAAACCCTAAACCCTAAACCCTAAACCCTAAACCCTAAACCCTAAACAGGGCGCGGCCGTGATGTGGTCCAACGTCCTTTCGCCGGGCGTGGACGACGCGCGCACGGTCCACCTGGGAATGCCACCCAGGAGCTGCAAAGCAAGCCATGGGGGGGGGGGGGATAGGGTTATAAGGTTATCGGGTTATAGGGTTATAGGGTTATAGGTTTATAGGTTTATAGGGTTATAGGGTTATAGGGTTATAGGGTTATAGGGTTAGAGGTTTATAGGGTTATAGGGTTATAGGGTTAGAGGTTTATAGGGTTATAGGGTTATAATAGGGTTACTGGGTTCTACTTGGAGGTTCATGGTACTTACTAACCACTTATATCTGGGCTGATAACCCTACTTATCATTGGGATATCCCCTATAAGGCCCTTTAGGGGTATTATAAGTAGGGTTATTATAAGTACAGTTATAAGTTCTAAGTGGTTAGTAAGTAGCATGAACCCCCAAGTAGGGTTCATATTTCTAATGTTTAGGGTTTAGGGTTCTTACAGGGTTATAGGGCTTTGGGTTAGAGGGTTAGAGGGTTGCAGGGTTATAGGTTGTTATACGGCTTTTGGATGTAGGGTTTTTGTTTAGAGGGCTATAGGGTTATAGGGTTGTAGGGTTATAGGGTTATAGGGTTCTTGGGTTATAGGCTTATAATAGGGTTACTGGGCTCTACTTGGAGGTTCATGGTACTTCCTAGCCACTTATATCTGGGCTGATAACCCTACTTATAATTGGGATAACCCCTATAAGGCCCTTTAGGGGTATTACAAGTAGGGCCATGAACCTTCACGCTTCGGAAAGTTCTTGCCCTGCGGGGAGTTCGGGAATTACTCGTACAAGGAGGGGCCCCCTTACTAACTGTAGTTAAGGGACTTATCACCTATAATTTAGGATCCTTATGACCCAACTTAGGGCTCTTATATCTCTACTTATAACTAGGGGGCCCCTCCTTGTAGGTTCCGGTTATACAGGCGGTTACCTGGTAGTTGACGCTTTACGCCTTGAGCTTTCCCTCATACCGGAAGAATCCTTACCCCAAATCAAATCGTCCGTGCTACCAAGCCCTGAATCCTAACCCTAAACCCTAAACCCTAAACCCTAAACCCTAAACCCTAAACCCTAGAAGCTGGGAACTTTGCACCGCAGGACCTCCACAAAGTTTGGAGTGAACTGTTTCTTTAATGACAAGCCGCTGCGGGAGTGGGAGGCCTGGATTGATATGAGAGTTTGTGACTCTAAACTGCTTAGTTAAACCCTGAAACCCTAAACCCTAAACCCTAGACCCTACACCCGAAACCCCTGCCAAACCCTAAACCCTAAACCCTAAACCCTAAACCCTGAACCCTGAACCCTAAACTCGAAACCGTGGTTTAGGGTTTAGGTCTCACCCCTTACAATCCCTGCATGGGGCGGGGGGTGGGGGTCTTGTCTCTTTGGGGTACCTATTCATGGGTTTAGGGTTTAGGGTTTAGGGTTCATGCCCACGCCTGAACCACCAAAAGATATCCAGTCCAACAAGAAGGTTCTCCTGAAATGGGATGTTTCCGGGCAGCTGATATATACATGGCTTAGAAAGCTTCCGTTGCATAAACTACCCAAACCCTAAACCCAAAACCCTAAACCCTAAACCCTAAAACTCCCTAAACCCACATCTACAGTGCTATAGGCTCCCTATACTGCTTTCCCGGCAGCCGGACCACGCCAACTCACTGATTAGGCACTGGGGCTTGTTGTAGGGTTCTGGGTACAGCGAGCAAGGTTGGGACTGAGGGTTTAGGGTTTAGGGTTTAGGGTTTCGGATTTCGAAAGTTTGGGGTGAGATGGTAATGACCACCCGAGCTGAGACGACTACTTGGAGGTTCATGGTACTTAGTAAGCCAAGTACAACTGTACTTTTAACCCAACCGTAACCCTATTTGGGTATTTATGGGGCTTATATGTGGGGTTTCAACTACACTCATAATGAGTTACTAAGTACCCTAAACCCTAAACGATAAACGCTAAATGCAGATTCAGCTTGGTGACCGTACCCACAGGTTTAGGGTTTAGGGTTTAGGGTTTAGGGTTTAGGGTTTAGGGTTTAGGGTTTAGGGTTTAGGGTTTAGGGTTTAGGGTTTAGGGTGTAGGGTTTAGGGTTTAGCCTTCGCACCTGTGGCCAGGCAGAGAACGAAGCCGCCTTAGGCGCCACAGGCCAGGTTGCACTGCTCGGAAGTCAGTAGCCTCAACCCTAAACCCTAAACCCTAAACCCTAAACCCTAAACCCTAAACCCCAAACCCCAAACCCTAAACCCTAAACCCTAAACCCTAAACCCTAAACCCTGCTTCTTGCAGTGGGGTATATCCCCACTTTGAGTGCCACTCCTAAACTCCGATAGCCCTCATTCCATAGGCCCCTCTCAGGGTTTAGGGCTTAGGGTTAGGTTTAGGGTTTAGGGTTTAGGGTTTAGGGTTTAGGGTTTAGGGTTTAGGGTTTAGGGTTTAGGGTTTAGGGTTCAGGGCTTAGGGTTCAGGGCTTAGGGTTCAGGGCTTAGGGTTCAGGGTGTAGGGTTTAGGGTTTGGGGTTTAGGGTTGAACCCCTCCCCATGAAAGTGTGCACGAAGTTCTTCAACCCTAGGGTCCCTCAGATCAACTTCAAGTTCTCAGTGATCTGACGGTTTGGGTTTAAGGTGGGTTCAGGTCTTCAGGCTTTCTTGAGCTTGCTGGTTGTTGGCAGGGTGTTGAATTGACCTAGGTTCGTTCTCTGGTCCCCTACAAAGAACAAGTAAGTACATCGGTCTTGGCGGAGATCAGATGCACAAAGGCGCGTAGTCCGCAAGCCTGGAACATGCTACCCTCAGCTGAACCCGAGGCCGACCAGCATCTCTAAACCCCAAACCCGAAGCCCTAAACAGTAAACCCTAAACCCTCAACCCTCAACCCTCAACCCTCAACCCTCAACCCTCAACCCGAAACCCGAAACCCTAAACCCTAAACCCTAAACCCGAAACCCTAAACCCTAAACCCTAAACCCTAATAACCCTGAAGAAGAGAGAGCCCTCATCCCCCTATGCAAGCCCTCAATCCTTGATTCAGGGCTGACGCCGCTGAGCTGCGTGGATCCCGTTGAGCTGCAGAAGGCCTGTAGCAGCGGTTTTGGGTTTAGGGTTTAGGGTTTAGGGTTTAGGGTTTAAAGACAAATAGGTGGCTTGGACAAACCCCAAACCGGCCTAAACCCTGAGCCCAAAACCCCATACCTTAAACCCAAAACCCTTAGCAACCCTAAACCCTAAACCCCAACCCCTAAACCCTAAAACCCAAAACCCTTAGCAACCCAGAGCCTGAACCCTCGAAGCGGGTGAGGTGATGCAGAGGTCGTCAGGATGCGAGAAAGGAAGGCAGGCCTTCGGTTTGCGGCCAGGCGCCATGAGCAACCGTTGCCGAAATTTTTCATCGTCTCTTGATTGTAAGTTCTCGAGTTCATGAATGCCGAGGACCCTAACCCTAAACCCGAAACCGCAAACCTTAAACCCTAAACCCTAGACCCTAGACCCTAGACCCTAGACCCTAGACCCTAGACCCTAGACCCTCACGCAGTACTGGTTGCCCCAAAGATACGTTTGTGTGGACATTATTCTGAGGTGACTGTGTTTTGGGAGTCAGGGGTTTCAGCGCTTCAGTCAGTGGCTGGTTCAATAAGCCAGGATGAAGAGGACCTGCAAGCCTGCGAAGGCTTTGTTTTGAGCAGCATTGTGGATCAAGCTGTGCCTTTTTTGTGAAGGTGGAATCGGAGAGGATGATTGGAAGAACTCCGTGTGGATTATTGTGGCGGCAAGTGAGGCATTTCGAATTCTCAGCGATCTTGAAGCTTCTCTTCGCCCTCAGCCTAGAATCCCAAACCCGAAACCCCTGTTGGATATCAGTTCAGGAACAAATGAGGCGGCTTAGGGATGCCTTAAGGGAAGCCTCCCGGGAGGTCTAAAGGGAGTTCTTTGGAACGGTGTTATCTAAGCATGCTGAAATGCTGGCCGGACCTGTTCACGAGTTCGGCGGCTGCCGTCTGCAGAAGCTGGCCTGCGATTGTGGGTTTTGGCGCCACGGAGGCCTTGTCCGCACTATACCGGCGTGAGCTGAAGGAGTGGTTAGGGTACTTGCGCCTTTTGGCATGTTGCTGTGTCCGCAGCTTTCAATCTCAGAGTATTTGTCGCAGTGACTTGTTGCTGGCTTTCGCGAAGGGCCTTGCTGAGAGTTCCTTGAAAGCAGGTCATCGGCGACATTGTGTTCACCAAAGATCATTCCCGGGATGGTGCTGTCCGACAGCGTGGTTTTGTCTGGTTGGTGCCTGGCCCTTGTCACTTTGGCAAGCTTTGAGGTTGGTCTGACAGCAAACTTGCCCGAATGACTTGCTGGCCCTTCTTGATTCCTGCCATGTTGCGCTTGCTACTTGTAGTGAGGGAACCTGGCACAGCACCCGATTTCTTGACATCCATAGCCACAAGACATCTACGGGCTAGCACGAATTGAAGAGATAGTGCCGAAAAGAACAATCGGGGCTGTACAAGAAACCTCATTTAGCTAGCTTCTTCACATCCAAGGCATCAGCCCTCGTCATCAGGCAGCCGAGACGAAAGCGAGGTGCAGTGCCTGCACACGCTGTGGCCTCGCCAAATGTCGAACTCCTAGTCGATGCGGACACGCACAGCTTGGAACAGATCAGGAACGGAATTGCTATCATGACCGAGAAGTACGGCGCCGTACGAACATCGATTTTTGCCGCGCCTGGACGAGAAGAAAACAGAAGATGTCGGGAGTTGTTCAATCATCCAGGCATCAACTTCCGACCTGTGTCACGCCGCGGCACGCAGAGTGGCGGCGAAGCTAACGATGGCAGAATCGTCGCCGAGATGCAGCGCCTTGCTGCATCCAGGTCTGCAGGATGCGTTGCTCTGCTAACTTCGGACACGGACTTTGCCAATGCTGTGGAAGATTTGGTGGCATGCTGTCAGCATGTTGTTGTGCTTGTTCCTACTGGGTGCAGTACGGCCCAAAGCACCTACAGGTACAGGTAGCTGGGTCTCCTGCAAAGCCCACAGATTTGACTAGTCTTGACGGAGCGTCCCTTCCTGGCCACATGTTCAGGTGGCCTATGTCAGCAGCTTCTTGGAAGACTTAGATTATTCGGATGGAAGCGGGTATCTGCTGCCAGCTATTGCGAATTTTTGGTTCAGCAACAGTCTTGGCCCTCTAACAGTGTTCCCACGACAATGTGCCATTCTTGCACTTTATGACCGCGTGAACAATCCTGCCACGAAGCAGGCGTGGCAAAGGCTGTCAGCCGAGCTAGCGTTCTTCTTGCCCAAGTCAGCTACTAGAAAACTGACCAAGACGCAGAAAGAAAAGTATGGCAGTGGGATGGCACGAGAAATATTTCTTGGAGGTGGGCCTTTCGTGCATCGAGACTCAGAAGCTCTGGTTGCTCAGGCACTACGCCGGTTGGGCTACCTTGATTCAGATATGAACGGCGACTTTTCTGAGGCTCTCATGGTTTTTGTCAACTCCAGCCACAACAAGTGCCCTGTCAGCGACGAGCCAACAGTTTGTCTTTACTGTCTTGGTCATACCTGCATAGCCCGCAAATTCAGTAAAGCCCTGCGCGGCCCAACAGCGCAAGCCACAGATAGCTCGGGATGTTGATACGTCTGAAGCGGGGCACCTGGTGGATTGATGGGCTCTAAGTACAGAAACGTTGGGGTTTCTGCACAGCTCTCCTTGCAACCCACGTGGAAACTTACTGATTTGTTATGCTCAGTGGGGCTGTTCAGCGGCCAGCAGCGCTCTCAGGCCGGCGATTGCATTGCAAAGCAGTTGGCCATACAGCGGCGAGCATTTGAGTTCACCGGCCAAGTAGGCCTCTTAGGCTGGCGATTGTCCCCAAAAACCATGGCGGTCAATATAGCGGCGAGGAGACAAACCCCCATAGATTGCTGCAACCGGGGATCCATCAGTGCAGCCTCCGAGTCGTGCACGAAAAGCGATATTTGGAGCCGAAACTGCTGTCCCTGCCAATGAAACGACGTTTTGGAGCTCCGAAGAACGCCGCGGCCACACCCGCGGCCACACCCGCGCCCAGGCGAGAGCGGGATTTTTCGTCCAAAGTGAGAGCAGGTCTCGAGAAAGAAAATGTCATGTCGAAGCGTCCCCAGCCTGTCCCAAAGGGGTTTAGGGTTTAGGGTTTTAATGTTGCGCTGCTTTTAACCCCTTCCCCCCAACAAATTTGGACCCTCCGTAAACGCGTGGCGCGGCGACCCGCCCAAACAAATTGGGCAGGAGGGGGGGGGAGGGGGGGGTGGGGGCGGGGGAACCGCCCTCAGGCCTCAAGCCTTTAGGAGCTTAAGGCCTGAAGCTTTCCAGCGATTAAAATTCCTAGAGCCCAAGGCCCTCAGGGCCTCAAGCCTTATACTGCGTAAGCACTTAACCCTAATTAAACACAAGCCCTTCAAAAAACTCATCCGGAAAAACCTGTGTATTATAGAGGGTGACCAGACAAACTTTCTAAAGACAGTCCGGCCGGCCCGTGGGCTACCAATCAGGAAATTTGTTTGGGGCCACGTTTGGTAATGAAACTCCTCGAGGCTTTACATGGAACTGGCCGGGCTTAGCTTTCCGGATTCTCCGGGCTCTGGCTCTTTAAAATTCCTGGAGCCCATGGCCCTCAGCGCCTCAAGCCTTTCCGTTTCAGCCCTTAACCCTATAATATACACGAACCCTAAAAAAAATCAGCCGTCCGCAAAAATTGTGCTAATAGCGGGTTACCCCAACAAACTCGGTTCGCATAATAGATTTTCGACACTTGTGATTGTAGACCATCCTTACATTAAAGTCAGTCTAACACTAAGGTTCAGGTTTTGCAGGGCACGGCCCATTCTACTAAGACTAGAAGTTCCAAGGAAGAAAAGCAGAGGCGCCGTGTCTTGCGTCACTACAGCAAGCTCAGTCCACTTCCCCTTGATGGAAGCCTGGGTTCATTTCGTCTTTGTAGCATGGCATGGTCATAGACCAAGCACAGCCTTGTTGCAAAAATATCAGACATCCTTCTGCAGTATGTTGTGTACAAGAAAACAACGTAGTTGCCACTGTTTTGGGCATCCGCCCGCAAGCAAACCGACGATACCGCCTCGCACCTTTGCGCTCGCTCCTCACATGATGTCCAGGAAAGTCTTGCGCAAGATGGGTGCGCTGCCTGGTCCTCATGATGGGTCGGCGGAGGCTGCAGCAAAGCTGAGGGATGCCTTCCTGTCCCAGCAATCACCCAGCACTTGGCAGACAGCTCCGCGGAGTGACCAGGTCCGAATTTTGCTGTGCAGACTTGGGTTCCTTGAACATTCTGGAAGTGCGGACTCTGCGATTTGGAAAGCAATGGTGAAGTACATGCGAAGCCGGGGTTTGCCACGTATGAAGACTTACAACGGCTGTTTGTGGCGAATCTTGTATAACCTTGGGCCCAGCAAGAACCCGACCTACACTGGCATCGTGGATTTCCGAAAGTGACAAACATGCTTAACGTTGATATAGTGGCTTGCTATCTTTCGACCGTTTCTGACTTGAACTATTGGGAAGAAGCTGTGGGCACAAGACTCAGCAGCATGCAGACGAACAGCACCTTGCTGTCTTTGGTGCCTGTGGCTTCATCGGGGCAAGGTCTCGGGTCGGCCTTGGGCTTAGGCCGGAGGCATGTGGGGGTCTAGCTTCGATACCTTCCGATGTTCGAGTAGTTGCCTGTGGCAGCGAAGCCATATGGGGGTTTCCGAACTTAGGGGTACCTTCTTGGGGTCCTTAATTCATATGAGGGAGTCCTACTATTTGGGGTCTAGAAGGGTGTTTTCGTCAACCCCCAGATGGCACGCAGGACACCACCATCGAGGTGCGCGCGGGTCAGCTGAAGTCTTTCGTCCTTTGCGAGGACCTGATGCGGCAAGGGTTTGTGGGTAGGGCCTTTCTAGGGTTTAGGGTTTAGGGTTTAGAGTTTAGGGTTTAGGGTTTAGGCTTCTTGTTCTGGATTCATGCATGGGAGGGCTCTCAAGATATGGACGGCGAAGAGTTTAGAAAGTTAATAAGGGTACTGGGTTTGCCATTGGGACTCTTTGGGGCGGAGTAGGGTCTTGGGGTTGAGGTTTGCTACTATTGGAACCCGGTTTCAGGAGACTTCCAGAACCCTATACCCTAACCCAAGTGCAACCCCACCTGCGAGCTGAGCTCTAAACCCTAAACCCTAAACCCTAAACCCTAAACCCTAAACCCTAAACCCTAAACCCTAAACCCTAAACCCTAAACCCTAAACCCTAAACCCTAAACCCTAAACCCTAAACCCTAAACCCTAAACCCTAAACCCTGAACCCTGAACCCTGAATCCTAACCACAAACTGCTAAGAAGGACTGGAAGCTGCGAGTGATCCCTTCCTTTCTTTCGGCGTTGGAGGCTGCTGGGCAGGGTTCAGGGTTTAGGGTTTTAGGGTTTAGGACATGTAATGCAGGGGGTCCTTCTAAATTAGAGCTGAGGTTTATAAGTTTTAGGCTTTGTTCTGAATGCGGGTCCCTTCTTTGGCTCGTGGTTTACGGAACTTACATGTGAGCTGACGTTGGCAACTGTGAGGGCTTGAGCACTTGACGAATCTTATGTGGTTCGGACTATGGTGTTCGGCCCTAAAACGAACTGAAGTCTTCAATCAGGGTCTAGAACCGTCAGTTTTCCATGCATCTGCACAATGGGCACTTCCTCGACTCTTTTGTGTGCTGTGCTCGGCGGCAAACCCTACAAACCTCGACAGTTCCCAGACGTTATTCTCGGTCTTCGCTGGCCCACTGGAACCAACTGCAAGTATTATAGCAAGAAGGGGTTCCAAAGTAAACCCTAAGCCCTAAGCCCTAAGCCCTAAGCCCTGAGCCCTAAGCCCCAAGCCCGAATCCCGAAGCCCGAAGCCCTAAGCCCTAAACCCTAAACCCTAAACCCTAGACCCTAAACCCTAAATCCTAAACCCTAAACCCTAAACCCTAAACCCTACCAACCCCAAACCCCAAGCCCAGCCTGGCCAAAGGTGCAAGCGCTGATGGCCGTCCTCGCGCCCACGCCAGACCAAGAGGCCGGCTATATGTTTTAGGGTTTAGGGTTTAGGGCAGCTGTAGAGGCATGTGGTAGGGTTTAGGGTTTAGGGTTTAGGGTTTAGGGTTTAGGGTTTAGGGTTCAGGGTTTAGGGTTTCGGGTTTAGGGTTTAGGGTTTAGGGTTTGGGGTTTGGGGTTTAGGGATAGGATTCAGGCAGTTCAGGGTTCACCCTAAGTCCTAGGACCCTCCGCGCTGATGGCAAATCTCTCCTTCTCCAGGCCGTGGACTTTGGGGCGATCGCGAGGCGCTGGCTCTCTAAGAGTTTACAGTACACTCACACCGGAGCAGATCAGATGGCTTGAGGGTTAGGGTTTAGGGTTTAGGGTTTAAGGTTTAGGGTTTAGGGTTTAGGGTTTAGGGTTTAGGGTTTAGGGTTCAGGGTTCAGGGTTCAGGGTTCAGGGTTCAGGGTTCAGGGTTCAGGGTTCAGCGTTCAGGGTTCAGGGTTCAGGGTTTACAGTAAACTCCAGAAGCCGGAACGTGCTTTAGGGATGATTAGCGCTGAGATTCCCTTTAGTGTACCTTTTTTGGGGTATGGAGATAAGGATGTTCGAACTTCTTGGAGTTTACAGTACCACTCTTTGCTTAAGAGCACACCCAGAAAATGTTCTTCCTTATGAGGGCAAGGTAAGGATTACTACCTTCTGTACGGGGTTAAGGTCGCGTTTCGGGACATGTTTTCCTTGTTTTGGGTTGATAATGGACCCTATATTATGTAAATATGTTTTCAAAGGGTTCAAAGGCGAGACCCACATTAGGGGTCTTGGGGTCTTGGTGGTTCTAGGGTTTAGGATGTAGGGTTTAGAGTTGTGGGAAGTTTTATACTAAGATGTGTGCTTGCTTTGGGGGTGCTGACTGACATTCGAGTTGTGCGGATCGGTGAAAACGAGGAGGGCAGATAGTTGGTGGGCGGGTGTGCTGCTTTGTCGCGCAGACGCAGGGTATGAGATGCACGGCGTTCCAGGGCGCCGTCGACCGGGGTTTCAGGGCTCAGCGCAAACCCCTAAACACACCCTAAACCCTAAGCCCTAAACCCTAAACCCTAAACCCTAAACCCTGAGCCCTAAACCCTAAAGACCCCCGGAGTCGAACTCAGTAAACACATCAACCCCAGAATCCCGCTGCAGAATCGAACAGCGCATGGCGATGGTGGCTGGCCGGCCCGTGAGCCACATGGATCCGCTCAAAGGCACGCTGTGCAAGCCCAGGTTCTGAATGCTGAGTCGACTTCTTGTGCGAGGCAGTCCCATCTATCATCGTCATGAATATTCGTATGTTCACCTGTGCTATGTCTAGCGTAGTTCACATTATCTTTTTCTATTCTTGACAAACTTTATTATACTGACTTAAACTTACGATTCTTACGAACACGGTGGTTGTTGTTACTACTGTTCTTCGGGGGTACGAGGGAGCAGGGTGCAAGGCAGCTTCGACCTGAAGGGCCATCCCCTGGCCATCGCGTCCACGGCAGAACCCTACCCCGTCCCCCTGTTCGAACGCTCTCACAAGGAAGTTAGGTAACCCCCCCCCCCCCCCCCGAAAGGACTAAACCCTAAACCCTAAACCCTAAACCCTAAACCCTAAACTTTAAACCCTGGTATGTGCCTCTAGTACTCCTCACAACCTGGCTGGCCATCCAAATGCTGTCGTGGCTCGAGCTTGGCTTGACGAGACATGCCGCAACAATGTGCGGGTGTGACCGTTCAGAGGGTTTAAGATCGAGCCGAGCAGTACTCCTTCCTTATCGGGTTTAGGGTTTGGGGTTGAGGGTACCCTAAACCGAAACCCTAAACCCTATAGTGCTTGATTGCTGCAGTCATGTCAACAAAAGCTGGGTCCAGAGTGGCTGTGAGAACACAACTCGCGAACTCCAGTCACAGCATGGCAAGAGCAGTATCATGGGCAGCAAGTTGCATGAATGTAAGAGCACCGACAGGAATTTTGAGAACCTTCCCTGCACCCGACCCCCCCCCCATCCCCATCCCCAACTCTAAATTCAAACCAAGGGGCACCACTCCTTGTACTCTAAGTCAGTTTTCAACAGTTCGTTCTAGTCTTCATCGCGTCGCGTAGGGGGCCTGCGCTCGCAGCTTGAGGCAAGCGGGTTGAGCTTCTCTGGCGCTTTGCACCCATACGTCCGTTACATTCATACAGAGGCTGTTTAGGGTTTCGGGTTTTGGGTTTTAAGGACGCTCCTAAACCCTAAACCCTAAACCCTAAACCCTAAATCCTAAATCCTGAACCCTGAACCCTAAACCCTAGACCCTAGACCCTAAACCCTAAGCCCTAAACCCTAAACCCTAAACCCTAAACCCTAAACCCTAAACCCTAAACCCTAAACCCTAACCCTAAACCCTAAACCCTAAACCCTACTGTAAACCCTAAACCCTAAATCCTAAACCCTAAACCTGAACATGGGCCTCATGAAGTGATTACACGAAGCTGCGAAGGTGCGACTGGATCTCAGGGGGGCGAGCAAGTTTTCATCTGAAGGTTTAGGGTCTAGGGTTTAGGGTTTAGGGTTCAGGGTTTAGGGTTTAGGGTTTAGGGTTTAGGGTGAACATCTTTATAACCCAAAGTTCAACTCAAAGGATATGACGTGTTCAGGGTTTCGGGTTTTTATCTAAACATCTTTAGAACCCAAAGTTCAACCATAAACCCTAAGCCCAAAACCCTCAAACAAAAATCACGGGTTCAGGGTTTCGGGTTTCATCCAGATAACTACAATTTGCTTAAGAACCCCCCCCAATCACAAAAATGTAGCAATACTCCGTATCACCCTTATAATACAAGGAAAAATATTTTTGGGGGGTTCTCAAGCAAATAGCAGATGCGAGAACTTCCGACACAAAAACCCCCGCATCCAACCAGGCCTGCGGCTCCCAAGCCTTAGCCCATGAACCCGAAACCCGAAACCCGAAACCCGAAACCCGAAACCCGAAACCCGAAACCCTAAACCCTAAACCCTAAACCCTAAACCCTAAACCCTAAACCCTAAACCCTAAACCCTAAACCCTAAACCCTAAACCCTAAACCCTAAACACTAAAACCTAAACCCTAAACCCTAAACCCTAAACCCTAAACCCTAAACCCTAAACCCTAAACCCTAAACCCTAAACCCTAAACCCTAAACCCAAACCCTAGATGGTGTACTCCTATGCTTTTGGGCTGTGGCGTCAGGAATTCAGTAGGGCTTAGCATTTAGGGTTTAGGGTTTAGGGTTTAGGGTTTAGTAGGGCTTCAGTGGCTCTGGGGTTTGGATTGAGGTTGGAGTGAGCCTTGAAAAGCCTCCCTACGACAGGCGATGGACGATGAGGAGGTGGTCATTGAGGAGGTGCCAAGAGAGGCCTGCCAGCCCAGAGAGACCACTGTAAAGGCCTCCCCAAGCCCTAAACCCTAAACCCAGAACCCCAAACCCTAAACCCAGAACTTAGAGCAGCCCAGAACCAAACCTGCTCAAGTTGGTCACGTTGGGCCTGCGACTGAAAGGCTCCGCGGTTTTCTTCCTTTTCGGGGGGCCTTCGGAACCTGGTCCCCAGTCTCCTACCTAGGGTTTAGGGTTTAGGGTTTGGGGTTTGGGGTTTAGGGTTTAGGGTTCCTCCCTACCTAACCCAAATTCTTCCATATTCTTCAGGGCCTTCCGTGGATCAGTAGTGGCCCGGCTTTGCGTGCAGGCGCCCAGCAGCTCCGATGCCAACATGGCCGAAGGACAGCGGCCCACCACGGATACAAGGGTCCTTGCGATTGAAACCCTAAACCCGAAGCCCGAAACCCTAAACCCTAAACCCTAAACCCTAAACCCTAAACCCTAAACCCTAAACCCCACGCCCTTCCGATGCCTTTCAAACTCTGCAGGAGCCAAAGATGAGTCACAGCCTGAGGGGGAGGAGGAGGAGGAGGCTCAACTCAAGGGATGAAGACCCGTTTAGGGTTTAGGGTTTAGGGTTTAGGGTTTAGGGTTTAGGGTTTAGGGTTAGGGTTTAGGGTTTAGGGTTTAGGGTTTAGGGTTCAGGGTTCAGGGTTCAGGGTTTAGGTTCCCCTTGATATACTCCTAAAAGGGCCCTTATGTTCCCTTAGGGATCCTTAAAAAGGGAACCCAAAATGCAAGGGTAAAACCTTGAGGGCCCAAGGTATAGAACCCTAAACCCTAAACCCTAAACCCTAAACCCTAAACCCTAAAAGTATAGAACCCCTAGATCAACCGTTCGCGTGACTTCACTCGCAAGCTTTACACGAATCTCACGCCTGACGGCGAGGGCGAAGATGCAGAGGAAGCTGGGAAGGAGGTGCTCGCCATGCTTCTTCTTATTATGATTATTCTTATGATTATTCTTATTCTTATTCTTATTCTTATTCTTATTCTTATTATCATTATTCTTCTTAATATCATTAATATCATTGTTATTATCATCATCATGATTGCTTTTATTGTTTTTATTTTCGTGCTTTTTCTGGATGTTCAGCTCAGCACCTTCCCTGTAGCTTCGCAGGACACTAGGAGTGCGTCAGACAAGGCGCTGGACGCTCTCGAAGCTGCCAGCACCTCAGCTGTGCACGGTCCCCTGAAGCCATCGCTTTGAAATGAACCCTAAACCCTAAACCCTAAACCCTAAACCCTAAACCCTAAACCCTAAACCCTAAACCCTAAACCCTAAACCCTAAACCCTAAACCCTAAACCCAAAACCCTAAACCCTAAACCCTAACCCCTAAACCTAAACCCTAAACCCTAAACCCTAAACCCTAAACCCTAAACCCTAAACCCTAAACCCTAAACCCTAAACCCTAAACCCTAAACCCTAAACCCTAAACCCTAAACCCTAAACCTAAGCACTGTGAGGAAAAGAAGAAGATGACCCCACTGGAGCAGCTGGAAACTTCGCTGCTGTGGAAGGCAGAGATCACGGCCCGGGCCATGCATCGATGGGTTTAGGGTTTAGGGTTTAGGGTTTAGGGCTTAGCTTAGGGCTTAGGGCTTAGGGCTTAGGGTTTAGGGGGCCAGGTGGAAGGAAACGACTTCTTCAAGAAGGGCGAGCTGTTCAAAGCAGCAGACTGTCGCAATCTCAGCTGAATGAACCCCAAGCGTCAAAGTTTAAGGAATGTTGCCTGTGTAAGAGCTCACTTCTGTAAACTCATGGTGCTTATGCACTGATGGCTGCTGCCAAGGCTACTACCATTCCATCGTTTTTGCGCGGGACCGCGGGAAAGAGCTGTCTGCAAAGATCAGCCCTCTAAATCCACAAAACCCTGAACCCGAACCCCTAACAGTAAAACCTCGAAACTCCCTGAGCAAACTCCTTGAGCTCATAAATCCTCAACACCCTGAGATGGACATCCCTGGACCAGTTCAGCATGTGGTCTAAACCCTAAACCCCAAACCCTAAATCCCGCGTTGCATCCGACAGGATTTGACAAAGAATCCCCAGTACTACCCGGAGCTCAAGCACACGTGTCCGGCCCAGCAGGTTTAGGGTTTAGGGTTTAGGGTTCAACATTGACACTTGCTTCAGGCCTACAGGGCAATTGGGTGTGGGCTAATTTAGACGAGGACTCAGGTTAATGGGGCGTTTAGTCGGGATATAGGGCTTTAGGGTTACAGGGTTATGGGGTTAGAGGATGTTTAGAGTGCAGCGTTTAGGGTTTTGGGGGGATTAGGGTTGTAGGATATCGGGTTGTGCGGTCTAGGGCTTTTCAGGGCTATGTTATGGGATTGGGGCTTTGGGGTTTTGAGGGGGAATCTCAATGTCAAGTGTCAACCTCTGGGTGAGTTTGAGATTCTTTGGGCTTAAGGGTTGAGGGTTTTAGGGCTTTTTCCCCACCCTCGGTGCGGGGTTGCTGGATGTTAAGTCAACCATGCTCCCTGCCTCCTCGCCTTCTCTCCAGGGCTTTGTCCCTTGGGGGCCCACTTTCAGAGAAGCGCCGCCAAGTATCGCTGGAGTGCCCAAGCCCAGAGAAGGCCGCAGAGAATCCGGCCGAGTATCCCTGGAGCCGCCAACCGCAGCGAAGACCGCAAAGAATCCCGTCGAGTATCCCTGAGAAGCCCGCAGAGAGTTCCGCCGAGTATCCTTGGAGTACCCACCCTGCGAGATCTTACCGAAAGTTCCTGGAGCGGATTCCGCGGAGAGTCCCACGACAGAAGCCTGCAGCGCAGTATCCGAGACGACCGGTGTGACAACGGCAGGATGGCTCCCCCACTTCAGGTAGCCGCAGGGCATAAAAAACATCTAATATAGGGGTCGGAATAGAAACTAATAGTATTCGCTTATGGTCCCCTTATAATTATACTATAATAGCCCCCAAAACCCTATTCTAATTATTCAGGCCCCCGTACTGTGTTTTTGGGTGCTTACTAAGGGTTTGCAGGGTTTTAGGGTTTTGCCCGTGCGTGCTCAGGCAGCAAGAGAGGAGCAAAGCACAGGCTTGCATGGGAAACGGAGGGCTGCACTACACCTTTTAAATCATGAACCCTTACAACGCCCGAGTATAATGTTTAGGGTTTAGGGTGTAGGGTTTAGGGTTATAGGGTTTAGGGTTTAGGGTTTAACCCTGAAACTTTAAAACCCTTTTAAGGCTCGCGTTGTTCTTGCGGCTGGGTTTGTGGGTGTTGGTGCGATCGTTGTGTTTTGTGATTCCGTGTTGGCGTTGTCACAAAGTCGCTTGGTTTTCTGCTTTCTTTTGTCGTGCAAGGCGCGCTTCCGTCGTGGCAAAGGGTGCACGGGGGTGGGGCGGGGTGGGGGGGGGGGGGGGTGGGGGGGTCGGGGATTTATATATTTGCTTACTTTTATATTCTTTATTTCTTATAATTATTATTCTTATATTTTATTATTCTTATTATTCTTATTATTATTATTTCTTATTATTATTATTATTCTTATTATTCTTCTTATTTCTTATTCTTCTTATTATTCTTATTATTATTCTTATTATTTATTATTCTTATTATTCTTATTATTCTTATTATTCTTATTATTCTTATTATTCTTATTATTCTTAGTACTCTGATGATTCTTATGATTCTTATGATTCTTATGTTTCTTATGATTCTGATGATTCTTATGATTCTTATGATTCTGATGATTCTTATGATTCTTATGATTCTTATGTTTCTTATGATTCTGATGATTCTTATGATTCTTATGATTCTTATGTTCTTATGATTCTTATTATGCTTATTATTCTTATTATTCTTATCCCTCTTATTGTTTTTAGTTATTATTATGTTTGTTATTTTTATTATTAGTATTTTTATTATTGCTTATTTTATGTTATTATTAGTATTATTCTTATTATTGTGCATGTCACCTGCTTTGGCTACATGGCCAAACGGTCGATATCCTGCCGCCCCGATTGGCTACGTGGCCAAACCGTCGATATCCTGCCGCCCCGATTGTGACCTGAAGGCGGAGTCGAACCAGCTTCGCTCTGCTGTGTGGGCCAGCGTGTTCTGACCGTCTTTGTTAGGGTTTAGGGTTTAGGGTTTAGGGTTTAGGGTTTAGGGTTTAGGGTTTAGGGTTTAGGGCTATGTGTGTAAGCATCATGGTGAAGACCGAGATAAAGTGGGTGTGTGTTGTCGTTTCGTTTGCGGCGGGGGGGGGGGGGTTCGTCTGTTCAGGGGCGGACCAGCAGAAGGGCAAGAAGGTCGGGGTCTTTGTTTAGTTTTTCTATTTGTTTGGTTTCGTTCGCAGGAAGTCGAGGTGGGGATTCTCGTCATTCTGGTCCCGGCAAATGCCTGTGTGCAGCTTGATTTTTCGTTGCATGCTTGTGCGTGCGTGCGTTTGTAAGCGTCTGTGTGGTGTGGTCCTTCTTTGTCGTCGGGGGGGTTTTGGGCGTTTTTGTTCGGCTCGGTGTCTGAGTCCCTACTCCCCAAATCTCTAGAACCTGATGTCTCTAATCCTTCCCAAATCCTTCCAGATCCCCAAGCCCTTGACACCCGAAATGCCAAAGCCTTACAAGCCTTCAAACCTAAACACCAACCCTCAAATCCTGGATCCGGGTCGGAGGAACTTTGCGAATCGGTTTTCACCAACCTGGCGCGCGGGCCCTCGGGCGGCTTGTTGTTTGAGACTCAGGGCCATTTAGGGTGATTCCATGACTGAAGCCTTACCCTAAACCCTAAACCCTAAACCCTAAACCCTGAACCCTGAACCCTGAACCCCCTAAACCCTAAACCCTAAACCCTAAACCCTAAACCCTTAACCCTAAACCCTAAACCCTAAACCCTAACCCCTAAACCCCCAAACCCTAAACCCCTGCAACTACCCAGTGAGGCTGGTGCAGCTGAAATACGGCAGCAGCCTCGACGCGGACAGCGTGGAGAGACCCAAGGTGTCCACACTGAACCCCACACCCTAATGATGGTCCCTTTTTGGGTGCCCTAAAGGAGGGCCACTCTGAACCCCAAACCCTAAGTTGTTTAATACCCTAGACCCTAAGCCCTAAACCCTAAACCCTAAAGGGGGGTCACCTTGCTCGAAACCCTTGTTTGGTTTCAGGGTTTCAAGGCTTAAGGGTGTGGCTTAGGGTTCAGGGTTGGGGCTTATCAGGTTTGTAAACCCTAAACCCTAAACCCTAAACCCTAAACCCTAAACCCTAAACCCCGTAAGTTGTGGGTTCAGTGCAGGAAAAGATTTTCTGTCCGTCAGGGGGTCGAGGATCTTGGCGAAGCGAAGGTTCGTAGGGTTGTGGGATCTAAGGGTTGAGGGATCTAAGCGTTGAGGGATCTAAGGGTTGAGGGATCTAAGGGTTTAGGGATTAGGGTTTAGGGTACCCTTAGTAACCCTAAAGCCATGAAAGCCTAAAGCCCTAAAGCCCTCGACCTGACGCACAGGTGCTCCAGGAGGGCGCCAAATCGGCTTCCGAGGCATTGAAGCTGAATGCCAAGAATGTCTGCGCCTGAGACCAAGGCTAGGTGAGACCAAAGCTAGTCAGGGTTTAGGGTTTAGGGTTTAGGGTTTAGGGTTTAGGGTTTAGGGTTTAGGGTTTAGGGTTTAGGGTTTAGGGTTTAGGGTTTAGGGTTTAGGGTTTAGGGTTTAGGGTTTAGGTAACTAGGCCCTTGGGACAGATCATATTTAGGCATATGTTTCTTTCATAAAAACAGTTCAGTCTTTTCCCTTATTGGTTTTAAGAGGATCAAATTTAAGAATATGTTGTGTTTTTTCATAAAGGCAGTTCATGCTTTTCCCTTATTGTTTAAGGGATCATCTTTAGGAATATGGTTTTGTCATAGAAAGCAGTTCATACTTTTCCTCATTGGGTTTTAAGAGGATCATGTTTAGGAATATGCTTTTCAGAGGGTTGTGCGGGCCATCCTAGAACTTCCCCTTGTTGGGTTTAAGAGGGCCATCTTTAGGAATATGATTTTCAGAGGGTTTCAAAGGGGCCATCCTAGAAAACAATGCGGGTTTAGGGTTTAGGGTTTAGTGTTTAGGGTTTAGGGTTTAGGGTTTAAGGGCCCTTAGGGTTTTCAGGGCCCTGGACTCAGGGTCTACGTTTCAAGGGCTTAAAAGGATGTAAGGGTTTGTGAGTCAAGGGTGTAGGCCCTAGGCGAGTTCATCTACAACAAATCCGCCGCTTTTTGGGCGGTCGCGTGCTTACACAGTACCACTGAACCCGAACTAAACTTACTAAACCCTGAACATCTACCTACACCCCCTTGAACCTTTAACTCTACCCCAAACCCTACACCCTCATACCCCAATACCCTAGCGCTACCCGAAACCCTAAACCCTAAACCTAAACCCGAAACCCTAAACCCTAAACCCTAAACCCCCTACAGAACCGCCCTCTCTGCTGGCATGGGAGGTCAAGGCGCTCTTCCGCCGGGCAGCCATCAATGCCGTGTTGGCCAAGGACTGTGAGA